GAAAGCCATTTAGTTATGACTCCCTGGTGCTGTATCATCAAGGTTTAGTTAATAATTTCACATTCTTCGCGTAATCATTATATTAGATTAAGTTAAGTTTGTCGGGTTTACCTCTGGTTGGTTTATACTATTTGGTTTAGTAAATGATTTAACGTAGTAGTCTCTTGGCCGCCATGACAGAAACTCCCTCAAAGCTGTTCTTGTAAATACAATAAACATATAATATTAACACCTTAAGATAAAAAAAACAGAACAAACCATAAAAGCTTAAAAGTAATGAAAAAATGTCTTGTTTCACATATTTGCAAAAAACAAAAACAATTAGGGGCGAGTGAGCCGCAAAATATGGTTGAGACGGAGATCAGTATCGACTCTCCAGATAACAACCTCGTGTACCTGAAGATCGAGACAACACTTTGGAGAAACTCGCCGCTTCACCATTAAGTCAGGTGAGGTAGGGAGGTGTAGATGGAAGAGGTTTAATCGACAGGTGTAATAATTATCGATCTAGGTGAATTTAATCAACAGGTATAATTATCGATCTAGGTGAATTTAATCGACAGGTATAATTATCGATCTTAAGTTATCCTACTAAACACTTCCTCGTTAATGTAATAGTTCTTCGTTATAACAATCAATTGAAATACCTTACAGTACTTATTATTCCTAAGTAAATTTAAACTTTTAAAATACCCGGTTTCAATAATGTCTTTTTAACAAACTCAAAGTTAACAAAATCTTCCACAAATAAGATCACAGACTTGAATGGTTGTTATAATGAAAGGTAATTATAATGGTTGTTCAGGTATAAGAAAGGTAATTTGGTGTTAAGGTTTTTGTTTGGTGTTACATAAAGATAATTTATTTGTTGTTGTCAGCTAACGACCCCGGAGTGTAGCAGTGGGAGGAGGAGGAGAAGGCAGAGTGAGGTGAAACACTTACCTGGGAAGATTTCGGATCATTACGCCCACGCCGCCCCAGCCCCCCAGTCACACCAGCCCCACGCCCACCAGCCCCCACGCAAGCCAGCCCTCACCCCAGCCCCCACCCGCCCCCACGCCCACGCCAGCCCCCACGCTCACACGCCAGCCCCCACGCCCACACCAGCCCCACGCCCACCAGCCCTCACGACACCAGCCCCACGCCCACACAGCCCCACACCAGCCCCCACCCCCACGCCCACACCAGCCCCCACGATAATATGCATCTAGACACCAATAACATCAAAACAAGAACACCCTCAACAAAAACAATGATAACAATAACAGCAATTACATTAATCATCTTTACAACAAAAACAATAACAGAGAAGCCACCAATAATAACAACAACAACCACAAATTCGCTAACAATAACAGTAACGACAATAACAACAGCGGAGCAGCTGCAGAACAATCCAATTAAGGTGAGGCGACTTGGACAGGGAGAGCTTGGTGACTTGACAGGTGAGAGCTGACTTGACAGGTGAGGCTTGGTGACTTGACAGGGGAGAGAAGCTTGGTGACTTGACAGGGAGAGCGCTGACTTGATAGGGGAGGGCTTGGTGACTTGACAGGGGAGAGCTTGGTGACTTGACAGGGGAGAGCTGGTGACTTGACAGGGGAGAGCGCTGGTGACTTGACAGGGAGAGCTTGGTGACTTGACAGGGAGAGCGGTGACTTGACAGGGGAGGTTTGGTGACTTGACAGGGGAGAGCTTGGTGACTTGACAGGGAGAGCTTGGTGACTTGACAGGAGAGCTTTGGTGACTTGACAGGGGAGAGCTGTGACTTGACAGGGGAGAGCTTGGGACTTGACAGGGAGAGCTTGGTGACTTGACAGGGAGAGCTTGGGACTTGACAGGGAGAGCTTGGTGACTTGACAGGAGGCGGTGACTTGACAGGAGAGCTTGGTGACTTGACAGGGGAGAGCGGTGACTTGACAGGGAGAGCTTGGTGACTTGACAGGGGAGAGCTTGGTGACTTGACAGGTGAGAGCTTGGTGACTTGACAGGGGGAGCTTGGTGATGACTTGGCAGGAGCTTGTGACCTAGGCTAATCCTAGTCCTAACTTAATCTGATTTAACCGCTTAACATAAACCAACCTAATCTAACCTACCTGTTTGAGCTAACCTGATAATCTAACAATCTAACCTGACTTTATATAATCTAACCTAATCTACCATATTTAACCCTAACTTAACCTGAGTTTATCTAATCTAACCTACCTTATTTAATCCATAACTTAAACTAAATTAACCTGAGTTGCACCTTCTAACCTAACCAAACGTGTGATTTTAATTTATTCATTTAAGTTAACATTAAAATATAAATACAAATTCAAGAGACGTTTTCAAAGTTGCAGGAGTGGTCGATGTCCCTACAGAACCTGAGCCATTCTGTAGATAAGCTGCTGGAGAATTGGGGGGCGTGAGTATGGCGAGGCGATCATCTGACCCCCCTACAGGGGGTATCAGCCTCCCATGGCGAAATGCTCTTACAACATGGCGAGTTTCTGCTGCACACCTTTGTACACTCCCCACCAAGGTCAGGTTGTGTTGTGTTAAGTGTTTAAGGTCAGGTTGTGTTGTGGTTTGTGTTGTGTATTGCTTAATGTTGTGTTGTTGTTAGTGTAAGGTCAGGTTGTGTAAAAATAGTGAGAAAATGTTTTACGTTTTCAACTTTAAAAGTATAGTCATTAATGAACAAATAATCTATTGGTTTAAGATCTATTGTTTGTGTTTCATCACTGCAGGTATAAAAAGTACGCCCTTCGACCCGACCCCAGAGGTGAGTGAAGAGTCAAATGTGGACTACCACCTCAACAGCGCCATCAGGACACCTGTTGCCTCCTGTCTCGATCACCAGTACTCCAAAATACAGGTGGGTCATCGTGTTACCTGGATATATATTTTGTATTATTAATTTTTTTACGATTAACCCACCTCGGCACATCGGGGCCTGGGGCGGCGAAAAAAGAAAAACAAACTACATAATTAAATACAAAATGGAAAAAAAAAACAGGTCAAGAGTGAGAAACGATGTGTATGGTGTTGTCAGAGTAAGAAACAATGAGACCCTGCAATTGTGTGTAAATGAGGCAGAAAGTCAGATCATCAACCTGGGACTTGGTCACCATGGCAGCAGGGTCTACCATTTAGACAACATATTATGCTTCCAATATCTTCCCAGGCGGTAGTACCTCCTTGTTTGGTAGCTGCCTACTACCTTTATTACTTTAATATACAGGTCAGCTCGAGTCTGTACCTCTGGTGCTACAATGAAAATAATTTATTTATATTTTTCACAGACAACTTAACAAACTTATCAGAATTTTTTTTAGTTTGATTGTGTACATAAATATATACTTTTTCTCATGGAATAACATTAGGCGGAATAATATCGACGTTTCAATAAATCCAGGTGAAGGAGAGATTGTTTGAGGTCACCAGGTATCACATAGCATTTATTAAAGGCGTCATGATATATATATATATTAGTCACTTGATGGCTTGAAGATCTCCACCACTGACTCGCACAAACGCTTAATAAGACAAACATCACCAGAGCGGGCAGAAGGCTGGCGACCATTGTAGGATGGAAGGATGTGTCAGGCGTTGTGTTTATAGTGGTGACCGGATAAAACCCCAACGGACAAAACCCTGTCTCATATATAAAATAAAACACTTATGTTTAGGTTAGTGTTGACAAATGACAACCCCGTTGGGGTTTTGTCATGTAACTGTTTATAGTTTATGGCATCAGGCCGTTCATTCCTCTTATGTTATTACAAAGGGAAGGAGAACGTCAGGCGCTACTGAATGTTCGTACTGGTAGTGGGTGGGGTTCCCGTATTGACATTTCCTGATGGTTGTAATCTGCAGGACTGGGGGAGTTGACCTACAGCCTGACGGGCGTCGAACAGTAAGCCCTCCTCCTCCAACAGGACCCTCATGATGACCACCCCTGAGAACCTCTTCAACGACCACATCCCAAGTGTGACCTCAGCTACCACCAGGTGAGCCTCAGACCATACACCGGGTGAGCCTATGTGACGCAGAATTTTTTGAGGACGTCAATTAATCAAATCCAGTCGTATGATTTTCAGGGTCTGTCTTTCTGTCTTGACTTGTTTCTGTCGATTGTTTTGGTGTCTGTCTCGGCATTGGTTAAACTTTCTTACTGTCTATTTCTCTGCTGTAACCCCCCCTCTCTTCTATTACAGACGTCACCTGCCTCACTACAGTCGATGAAATCTTGGGATGGGAGTGAGGAGAGGGTGCATGGCCAGCTCTCTGCCCTACCCATCGTCGTTGGGGCCTCTCCTCCCACTAGCTCCTACACCTTGCCAAGGGACAGTACCTACTCGGATACCCACCTATGGCTCATCAAGGAGCTCACATGCCCAGAAACCCCACCACGTATCCTAAGGGTACATCTACCCAGAGGATCTTCTTATGTCCCCCACCAATGTAAGGAACCGACCTACCTGACGAAGAGGTGAGTGAAAATTGGACGATAATATGGACTAAGATGATGATGATAGTTGTTCTTCGGGTTAGTAATAATAGTTTAAATGAAATATATACAAAATGGTGTAGATAGTGATGATGATGATGATGATGATCGCTAACCGCTACCACGGTCTTTTCACTACAGGTCAGTGGTGCGACCGAGCCATTGTCAACAGCAGTGGCCTGACAAGCAATTAGCTCACTGCGCCACTCGACCCACCATCTCCACGCCCATCCGGCCCACCATCTCCACGCCCATCCGGCCCACCATCTCCACGCCCATCCGGCCCACCATCTCCACGCCCACCCAACCCACCATCGTCAGCACACTCCTTCATCTGCTTTATTCTGCTAAGGTGTGGTGTACTGTCAGATCTTGTATTGGTTAACTATTACTTTGGTTTACCTGTTGTATTTCTAATTAGTGTTAAACTTGGTTGATAATTGTTGGTATCCGAAGTTCAGAGGTATTTTTGTCACTGCTTACAAAACCTACCCCACCCATAACACACCCACCTCACCCATCCACCTCACCCATCCACCTTACCTCACCCATCCACCTCACCCACCTCCAAACACAAGAGTAGACCAACTATCTAGCTCTCCTACAGGATATATCTAGAGTAGGAGGCTGCGGCGGTGGTGGTACAGAGTGCGTTATCCCAGGAAGGTCGGTGTCCCCAGGAAGTCTTGATCCAGGAGGTGGTGATGAGGAGTCGACGAACTTCAGGATCCCATCCTCTCTTTCACCTCCTGAAGGATCTGGCATGACTATTACTACGACATGGCCTCCTTCAACGTCGGTGAGCAAGCTAAACCAATCCGTCCTCCCCTCCTGGTTGATTAGGTTGACTTTCAGTTATTTGTGATTGATTATAATGATTGGTCTGTGATTGAGGTAGTTTGACGTTGATAGTGTATCCTGGCCCATGTGATTGGTAGTATTTGTGATTTTCGATTGGGAGTATATTGTCACGAGTTGGTAATGGTGATAGATCTTGTGATTTAGTAGTTTATTGCGGCTCTGGTGAGTAAGTAATTTAGTACCACCATTACAATTTTCACGTTACTGGGGTTAAATGCACATTTACCTGATACAACCGAGGCTATGGATTATTATATACTTTAACAAACATGGCAACAGAATTATACCCAAGACTCCTTTTCTAGTTGGTTGAAGTAGGTTAAGCTGGTTTGGGTTGTTAGGGTTGGTTACGTGATTAGGTCAGGTTACGTTGGGTCGGGTCAGGTTATGTCGGGTCAGGTCAGGTTAGGTTACGTCGGGTCAGTTTAGGTTAATATTCCGGAGACATAATTCACTCTGAGTCTCTTTGTTGATACCGACGTCATTTGGTTACCTCTTTCAGCGCCCTTGTTGTCCTTCCTGCCATCATCCACGGAGGAACTTGTCCACTCTACCTGAGGAGGAACCCGGAGGCTGCCCGTGCCTATCGCGACTCTTACTCCTCCGTCCACACCCACACAATTGACGCTGTTATATTGGATGCTATATTTACGCCCACGGCTGTCTCTTAGGTACGCCCATCCCTGTCTTATCGTTTTCCTCACCACCACCACCACAGTGTCCTCTCCCCTCACCACCACAGTGTCCTCTCCCCCTCACCACCATTTCTCCCTCACCACAACCACGGACACTCAACAGATAAGGTGAACTGCCAGGCGACGAAGCTCTGGACATCATTGGAATCAGAAGTAGGAGAGGTGGAGGCAGCGGTTGAGGAGATGTGTCATAAATATCTAGATGTTGTCAGGTCTTCCACTCCAGTCGATCTCCTTCACGCCCTCAGCACCACCGAATCACACCACACAGGTTGGTTTGGTTTGGTTTGGTTTAGATATGAAATGCTCGTTTTTTGTAGGTGAAATTATAAAAAAAAAAGGTTGTATTTGTCATTCCTTTCCCGCCCTAAATACTCGATTGTCTGTGTCTTAGCTGGTGGCGTGGGTGACGGAGGGCTGCAGGAGGAACATCACACTCTCTAAACCTGTTGGTGGAGGACCTAGCTGCGTTCTCCCCATTCCTGCCACTAACCACGATCTCTCCGACTTCTCCACCACCACTCCCACCACCACTACTTCCCTCGTCTCTACCATTGCCTCTTCCCTCACTTCTCTCCTTTCCACTGGTGCCTCCTGTCTCACCTCCTGTTCCAGCAGTGTCTCAGAACCCTCCATAAAGGACATTATTACTCCACAGAGGTGAGGTATAGGTGTGAGTTTGGTATTGCTTTGGTAAGATGTTTTGATAATTAGTTGAGATAATGGTGAAAATCTCCCCCAATCTCTCCTCTCCCCCCCCAATCTCTTCTCCCACGCCCCTAAATCCATCAGGTATAGCGTTAGGGTGGTCCGTCCTTCACAAGTCGACCTCCGTGTGTGTGTTTCAGGCGAGGAACGTGTTTAATCTCTGTGGCTCTGACAACTGCCATCGCCCCTATCCTGACGATGACCAGAAGCTGTTACTCATGAGGGGTACAGGTCTCTCCTCCAACAGATCAATCAGTGGTTCACCAACGCTCGCCGTCGCTTCTCGCCAAAGATACAAATGAACTTGAGCAAATAGGAAGAGGATTAAGAAGAGGAGGAAGTTAACAAGGAAGGAAACTGAGAACCATTCAACAACAAGTGATTCACCAATAGAAATCCAAGACGACTCAGCAGGGAGGGAAAAAGGAGAGAAAGAAGGAAATGAGCAAATAGACTTACACCATCTCAGGCCACCGAGAAATACTTGATTACAATTCTTACAGGTAAACCTAAAACTAATAATTCTACCTGTTGTGTTGTAACGGACTAATAGAACCAGGTGTAAATGTAAACCAATGTATCTCTTTGTATTCCAACATTGTATTGTCTCGTATGCTGTATAGCCTATGAGGTGTATGTATGCAGTATAATGATTGAAATGTATGATGATTCTGTATGGTGTATGGGCGGTTTTTCCCTAGATGTAGAAGCTGTACACTACTGA